TCCCCACTATCCTTCATATACTTAAAACAAGAAATAATTGTTGTTTTTGGAAAATGTAAAGTTAACATATGTATATAAACGTTAAATTGTACATTAACCTTTTTATTTAGACGCATTATAAATAGTGGTTTAACAAGTGTGCCCGATTTTGGATATTTACCCCCCAATAATATATTACAAATGATGTAAGTGCGCATAAGATGGAATTGTTTTATTTAATTACAAATTGAATAACTTTCAACTAAACATTGATATATATTTATGCATATAGAGATCTCGATAACAATCAAATTTCTCGAATTGATTCAAAATCTATTCAAGTAAAGACTGCACAATTGTGAGTAAAAATATATATGTTATATTGGTATTTCCCAAACTAATTGTTTTGATTCATAAGTGTTTTAGCGAATAACGACATAACTTTCATTGATGATTCTGCCTTTTTGGGCTCGAAAATAGCTAAACTGTAAGTTGATTGCAAAAACGATTTTTCAATTTTCAATAATAACTTTCATGTAAAACACATATTACAGTTCATTGAAGGATAATCGCAGGCTTAGCGACGTTCACCCGAATGCATTTTACGGTATAATTGATATAACAGAACTGTAAGTAACATAAATTATTCGCATACAAATATACGAACCGTGATATATATACTCCCACTTAACCATAGAGATCTCTCGAGCACATCTTTGGTCAGCTTGCCATCAGCTGGACTACAGACCGTCGAAGTATTATACATAATCAATACGCATACTTTGAAAACGATACCCTCCATATATAATTTTCAGGTATACCATACATATATATCAACTAGAGTTGGCCCGTTTAGTTCAGACCAAGTTCGATTGAACGGGTCATTAACATGAACTACTGAACTTATTCAGTGATAAGTGAACTAAATCGGTCATTTAGTTCAATCGTTCAGCTATTCACAACGAATCGTTCATGATGGACTGCATAACTGAACTGGACGAACAACTGAACGAGTGAACTAAATGACCGATTTAGTTCACGACCAGAAAATGAGCGAGTAAACTTGTTCAGCAAATTGAACTAGAAATCCCCATCTACACATTGTTTTCGTCTCTTTCACTCATTAATTATTACAGAACTTACAGAGAGCCCACTTAACGCACTCGTTTCATTGCTGTGCGTTTCAATTCCCGTCGAGACATGATCCCAAGAGGCATGCTCAACGTTTACAGGAATTACAAAAATGGAGAGAACAATGCAATGGTGACCGGGACTTACATAGGGATGTCGCCAGGAAGCTAAAAAAAAACACATCCGTGGAAGAAACGGCAGGAGTGCATTATACGTACGTTTGATCAATAGCTCTAATTAACCAAATATTTATAGGCCTTTATAGAAACCAAAGTGGGACTGCCGCAGATCTACAGAATCTACCGACCGACACGGCTTCCAATTCGTATGACTACATGGCTGATTCAACAATGAACAACATTGGAATTTTTCATGAGCAGATTACGATAAATCCAGATGACGACCAATTGGCTGAGTATTGCGGAAACTTCACATTTAGGTAAACGTTTCTTATTATAAGTATTAACACTGTTTCTACCAAGGTGTCTTTTGACACCTTAGCTAATAAGAGTGGAAAAAGTTTTTAAAAGTATTCTCTTTTCATTTTTTTTTGCCACTAAACGAATTTAACAATCAATTAATAAAAATGTATTAAAAAATGATTCAACTTTGAAAATAATTTCAAGTTAAAAATTGAAAAAGTTTCTTTTGACACGTTTGGTAGAAATAGTGTTAATGCTATATATTAAAGTAAAATTTGTAATGCAGAAACCCAGATATTGAGTGTTATCCCATGCCAAATGCCCTGAATCCATGTGAAGATGTCATGGGATATCAGTGGCTGCGAATTGCTGTCTGGATTGTAGTTGCCTTAGCTATTGTTGGTAATGTGGCGGTTCTTACTGTCATACTATCCATTAAGTAAGTTTAGCCGTCATGGATTCGATTTATTTAAATTTGCTCATCATCTAATATTCATTTGTAGATCAGAAAGCCCATCAGTGCCACGCTTCCTAATATGTCACCTTGCTTTTGCCGACCTATGTTTGGGTCTCTATCTGCTGCTTATCGCTTCAATTGATGCACATTCAATGGGCGAATATTTTAACTATGCATTTGATTGGCAGTACGGTTAGTAGTTCTCAAATGTTCATTCATTTTTAGATATATATTTTGTTATTTACACAGGATTGGGCTGCAAGATAGCCGGGTTCTTAACCGTGTTTGCCAGCCATTTGTCGGTCTTTACTTTGACTATTATCACAATTGAACGCTGGTTTGCGATCACGCATGCAATGTTCCTAAATAAGCGCATCAAGCTGGGTCAGGCTGCTGGCATTATGCTAACGGGCTGGATTTACTCCATAATTATGTCTGCATTGCCCCTGTTTGGCATAAGTAATTATTCATCTACCAGGTGAGGTGGTTTTCGACTGCATTTTACTGTTGCTATACCCTTGCAGAGTGTACCATAGTTTTGTCGTGAAATAAGTGTAGGGCATAAAAGGAGACATCTCCGATCCCATAAAGTATATATATTCTTGATCAACAGCCGAGTCGATATAGCCATGTCCGTCTGTCTGTTTCTATGCGAACTAGTCTCTCAGTTTTAAAGCTATTTTTATGAAACTTCAGAAGTGAAACTGCAGAAGTGCCTCTTTCCGTTGTACGCAGTGCATGTGTCGGAACCGGCTGGATCGGACCACTATATCATATAGCTGCCATAGAAACGAGCATGCGAAAAGAAGGTTCTTATATGAAAAACTTTTTTGTTCATCCAGATATCTTATCTAAACTCTGCATTTATCAGTTTTATTATTCTCCTCATATATATGCAAAATCCTATTAAGAGCGGACCACTATATCATATAGCTGCCATAGAAACGAACATGTGAAAAGAAAGATCTTATATGAAAAACTTTTTTGATTATCAAGATATTTTGACCAAACCAAGACATTTTTTAGATTTACTATGCTCCTCATATATATGGAAAATCCTATTAAGATCGGACCACTATATCATATAGCTGCAATAGGAACGATCGGTCGAAAATTAAGTTGTTGTATGGAAAATTTTTTTGTTTTTCAAGATATCTTGACCAGACTTGGCATTTATTAGTTTTACTATGCTCCCTCTATTTATGCAAAATGTTATTTACATCGGACTACTATATCATAAACCTGCCATATAAACAATCGGTCGAAAATGAAGTTCTTGTGTGAAAAACCTTTTGTTTTTCAAGATATCTTAACCAGACACTCGGCATTAACTTTTTTCCTGTGCTTCTTAGATACTGACAATTCACTATGATCATTATGAAAAGGTTGGGTCTGCAAGGGTATTGAGTCTTCGGCGTGCCGAAGATAGCTCTTCTTTCCCGTTGTTATTTATTTTGTTATTTTCTTTAATATAACTTAATTTAGTATTTGCCTGCCAATGGAGAAACGCGATATATACGATTCCATATATTTGATAATGATTTTGGGTTGCAATTTCGTGGCTTTTACAATAATTGCCATTTGCTATTCTCAAATATATCTTTCTCTCGGCCAAGAAACGCGTCGTGCACGACGCAACAATCCTGGCGAAATGAGCGTGGCCAAGAAAATGGCACTTTTGGTGAGTTGGTCCTTAACATTCACTCATTTTCAATTAATTGGTCGCATTTCGATTTTTACAGGTATTTATTAATTTCACTTGCGGGGCACCAATTGCCTTTTTTGGTCTTACTGCATTAGCTGGTTACCCGTTGATTAATGTTACAAAATCGAAAATATTACTAGTGTTCTTTTATCCCTTGAATTCGTGCGCGGATCCATATTTGTATGCCATCCTAACATCCCAGTATCGACAGGATTTGTTGACTTTCTTGTCCAAGTATGTATCCGAATCTAAAGCATTTAAACATCCCACGCACTGACTGATAAGAGCACAATTAATCCAACAGATTGGGCATTTGTCGCCAGAGCGCACTTAAATATAAGCACAGCGATTCGATGCATGGAACTTCACATTATACTATTCGCGGATCCATTGAACATCGAAATTCACTTTGCCAAAAGCCCGAACAAGATGGGCCCGCGGAGACACAAACAATGCTTAAGAATAATGAGGATTATGTGTAAATGATTTATTTATCAATATACTTTTTATGGTTCTGCGTGTACTCTTTAGTTTATCTTGGGTGGGTTATATTGCAGGAACAACTTATTCCTAAAAAGTTGCTTGGGCCCTTATTGCTAACGTAATAATAATTATTCGCGTATTTATACTGCATCCAATCCTCTTCATAAATATACTTGTTTTATTGTTAACTTGGTTAATGTATTTATAATCGAAAGAAATTTAAGCGAATCTATGAATTTGTATTAAACGTTTTAATAGATGTCTAATAGATGTTTAATATGCGAATACCACTCTTATCATATCCACTGATTTATATAAGTCTTTACACAATTTTAAATTTCTTGCTACTCAGATAAATATATATATATATATATATACTAGCGGGTATAACCCGGCCTTGCCCGTGTCACGTATAGAATAAATCTTCTCAAAAAGCTTTAAAAATGAACAAACAGCTTTCATACACACGTTTTCCGCCAATTTACCACTGTTGCGGGTGAAATTTCCTAAATCACTGAAACAGGTATTCCTTCATTCATACAAACGTATTTGCATGACATGCACCTTTATCACATCAGGTAACCACAGTTTGGGCTGTGCGTTGATCACCAATAAGTCATTCAGTCAGGACAAACAGTTTTATATATAGAAATATATGTATGTCTGTACACTTGATACAGAAATTAAAAGGTTTTTAACACATGATACTGCAGTTGTCTGTGAATAGAGTTTTTGGTATTATATATTTAATTTGAATACCACCAATGTGTTTAATGCCACCCCCATGTGAAAAAATACCAAAAGAAAAGGATACTAAGTGAGAAATACCAAGATTTGTTGACGGTTGACAGTCGAGCAAAAATGTCACGTCTTTCAGGTATATTAGGTATAATCGTTGTCATAAAAATTGCCATATGTGCTTCAGAAAACTTTAGGAATAATAAACCTCAGTCTAGGGCAGCAACTTTTCATTTTCCGGAGTACGCGTACAAAGAAACAAGCAAAAATGTATGTATAACATGAAGAGAGACTATTGATTTTTCAAATACATAAATGTGGTTTTATTTTTAAAGGAAATCACCTATCACGATTACGAGCTAGCCTGTGGACAAAACTCACAATGTGTTAATGCCAATTCAGCTATGGTTTCCAAATTAAACTGCTTAAGGCAATGTATATCGCATTCTTGCTATCAAGATATATATGCTTTTGATGAGGTATGCTTTTTGAACCCAACTAATATTCAACAACATAAATTATCAATTTTGTTCTTTTATGCAGCTTGAAGAAGGCGAAATCGATGTCAGAACGAATTCATTTAAAGGTTGCGTTATACAACGTATGTAGCACAAGGCCCCAATCCTATATCGATTGTATTTGACAAACTACCTGCAGGAACTGCAATGGAAGATTTCCGAGTATATTTATAAATGGATATAAATTGGCTTTTTTCAAATGCCTACATCAACAATTTTAAATTTCGATTGGTATCAGAAAACCATTTTGGTAAAAATGGGTGACTTTAAGAAATAGGTTAAAGAAAAATAAAAAATACTTAAAAAATTATAATGTGCGCCAAATTAGGGTCGATTTTTGGCACTTGGTATCGGAAAAAGAATAGCACAAAACCAAATAAATTTAAATGCAGAATTGCAAAAGATGAAATTATTTAGTGTCTACATCAATTTGTTTTTGAATTTTAGCTTATAATATGGGTAAACCAAGGGGTTGATCATTAAATATCTTAATTTAGGGATAATGGCCCCAAAAACCTTATAAACACGATTAAAGCCTATAGTTTCACCTAACCAATCATGAACAAATTATGAAAATCGAACATCACGTTTTTAAGATATTGGAACAACAGTGCCGCAACCTCGTTGCTACACCCATACAAAACCGTTAAAAATTAGCCTTGCAATTGAACCCTAATATCTTTTCTCTTTTCTCAGGGTTAATGCACGGGGATACCCTGAACCCTCTTCTACCAACAACAAATGCCTTAGCAGTAATAAAAATAAATGAAAAATCCCCTAGTCGGGAGCTCCCGACTAGAGCCTCTTACTTGTCATGTTAAGCACCGTTACAAAAAAATATTGCTGCCATTTTAATGAATAAAAATGTTAAATAAATATTGCCAGCTAGTTATTTTGCAATAACATAGGGTATAATGAGAAAAATAGAAAATGATAATTTCTTAAAAACTGGCTGAACGTTTTTCTTGATTCAAGAAGCAAAATTTTGTCCATTTGTGGACATTATCGGAGAAATTAATAAATATAGGTTGAAATTTGTTGAAATTTTGCTACCCTTTTGTTAAAATACTGTGCATAACTACATAACTGCAATGTTGTCTTATTTAGCAGCAGTCTATTTTACCAAAGATTATATTTTATTGAAAAGTCCCAATTATTTAAAAGTCTTCATTTCTTTCATATATACAAATAATTTGAATTAATTTGTTCCCGCCGAATACTGTATAAAATTATTCAACACTGATTCCAAGCAGTTGGTGCTAGTAGTTCGATAGGCCTTTTGAATGAACAACATAAGGCGTGTTTACACATTTTTATTTTTCTAAAAAACTGGCTGATCGATTTGTTTAGAATTAATGCGTTAGGCTTCCTTAAACATGCATCTTCATGTTAGTATAGCGTGCCTTGCGGGCCATTATCCCTGAGAAAAGGTATTAGGGTTCAAGGTCAAGGCTAATTTTTTACGGTCATTTTGCTGCACTGTTGTACAAATAACTGAAAAACGTGCTGCTCGATTTTTATAATTTTTTCATGATTGGTTAGGTGAAACTAAAGATATTTAAAGAATGGTGGAAACCTTATTATTCAACACCTTGGCTTACCCATATTATAAGCTAAAATTCAATAACAAATGAATGTAAACACTAAATAATTTCATTTTTTGCAATTCTGCATTTAAATAAATTTGGGTTTAAAACATAAATAAATGCATTTAAAAGTGAGCGATTCATTTTCCGATATCAAGTACCAAAAATCGACGCTAAGTGACCATCGCTAATTTGACGCATATCGCACAATGATACTATCGAAAGTCAATTAATCGGTTTAGTTTAATCGATGCCGCCCGGCTAAAAATACAAGCAAGCTGCAGTTACAATTTACAATCAATTGTGTTTTCTAGTATTTCTAAATTAATATAAATCGTGTTAAGCTTAATATGGAGTTGACTTTGCCATGCCCAGTAAATATTTGATTCTTTTTTGTGTGTTTACAGAATGTGTGTGTGTGTTTGTTGCCGTTGTTTTTGTGTTGGTGCGTCAAGTTGGGTGGTGGACTAAAACCGTCTGTTGCTGTTTCGGCCCCGATTTCGCCCACCGCCGCCTCCCCCTCCACCACCAGAGCCGCTGTTGTTGCCCCGTCTTCGACGATGCTGCCCACTGTTGTTGTTGTTGTTGTTGTTGCTGTTACTACTCTTTTGGAACTGTTCCCGATCCCGGTCATTGAAGTTGTCACTTCCATTGTTATTATAGCCATTTTGACTGGCAGAGCCGCTACCATTCCCATTCCCATAGTTTGACCAGGGTGCATTGGAGGCCCAAGGATTAGGTCGATTCGTATCCTCGCGCGTGGCCTGGTCCATGGGTGAACCGCTGCCGTAGCTTGAGGGTTCGTCGATGAATTCCGTTTTTGGCTGTTGCGCCTTGACGGTCAGCAGCGACGGCAGGAAGGGCTTCTTTAGCAGCAGGAGCTCGCGCACACACACCAGTTGGGCATTGTGCTGGAGCGGCTCGAATCGTGATTTTTTGAGCGGCGGCGATACCTCACTGCGTGCCTGTGCCGTCTCCACGGTCGGCGAAAGAGATCTGGAACGCTCTCGTTCTCGCTCCCGCACGGGTACGACATCACGCAACTCCTCCAACTTGCCAGCATCAATGTACTTATTCAGGTACTCGGCGCCCTGCCGAATGGCGCCCATCAGTCGCGAGTCTGGATGCACGCGAATGAAGCGCCCATAGACAAAGACGCCAACGATCGTCTGGGGGTCAAGGCCGTTGAGCATGCCGCTGGCCAGGATGCCCTCGAGTGTGTTTTCGCTGATTTGCTGGTGGGTTAGGCCGTTGCTTGAGTCTTTGGACTCACGCGCCGCCAGCTCGTCGTGTATGCTAAGCACGCTCGGGTCGTCGGCTCGACGCGGTCCTGCCCATTGCACCTGGAAATTGCGTGGTATGGGCTTGCTGTAGGGCACTTTCTTCTCGCGATCGCGATCGTTAGCCGACCTGCTGCCGGCATCCAGATCCAAGCCCGGAATAAAGCCCTTATCGGCCGTAAGGCTTTCAGTAAACTCCACCTTATCCTCGGGTCCCATACCGGGTATCACGGCATCGTCTGTGAGTAATCCACAGGTAAATCAATTGTTCTTGTTAGGATGCTTCTTGTTACATACCATATTCGCACTCATCTAGGGCAGCTAAGCTAGCAGGAAGTGTATTCAAATTGTACTTGTCACGCATCAGATCTCCAGGTCGGTTACGTGTCCAGAATTTGATGGTGTGATCATTAGAGCCGGAGCACAGAATGTGGCCTAGCGGATGCCAGGCGAGTGTCCACACTATGCTGTCGTGCGCCGTCTCAACACATCCAATTTCCTTGTCCGTGCTAAAAATTATACAAATTATCAATTAATATGTATGAAAATGTTACTTTTACTATAAGCTAATCATTATTAAATCTTATAACTATTTCTCTAACAATAATTAAGTACGATTAGAATCAAAAGAAAAGTTGTAAATTTCTTAAAAATGTACCCCTCTTATTTTAAGATAGTCCATAAACTTGCTAAAAGAGCTCATTTAGATTGGGATAGATTACCTAAAACACGTGTGAGCTTTTAGCCGATCTGATACATTTTAAATATTTGGCTATGTACTCTGTGAGCCCGTCGCATAACCTATTTAGGTAGAAATAAGAATGACCAGGGTAAAACTAAAAATCTATGTCTTCATGTCTAAAACTTCGGCAGACTTACGCAATTGTAATATCTGCTAAGGAAAGCAAAGATTAAGGCATGTTTTAGACAGCGTTTTAAATAACAGATCCCAGAACCAGACACACAAACAATTAATAATAAAAGAGATTCAAAAATCCTTAATGGGGGGTTATGCATTGTTGATAAAAGGAGAAAATCCGTTTGATAAACGCACCCCACATTCCAAAAGAGTATGGAACCATCCGAGCCGCCAGAGCAGAATAGGCCCTCGTGTATGGGATGCCAAGACACAGAGCTGGCCTCCTTCTTGTGGCCGCGAAAGACTTGCACCTCTTCGCGCAGATTACGAATGTCAAACAGTTTAAGCAGATGATCACGCGAGGCTGTGACCAGCCAATTGCCATTGTCATTCCATTTGAGATCCATGACAGTCGATTTGTGGGCATGGCTGCAGGATATGGCAGAATTAAATAAATCAGCAATGAAATAAGCGGGATTATATACTTACAGCGTGGCCAGCGCAATGCCACTCTTTGGATCCCAGATTTTAATGGGCTGCTGGTTGTCCTTACTGCCGCTGACGATCATCGCCTTCTGTGGATGCCAATGCACGCATTTTACATCCGCGCCGTGACCTGCGACCAAGAGATCAGTTAAGGGGTGGACTAGGAGGGCGGGTTAAGATGTTGTGGTACTTACCGCGCAGCACGCGCTCCTCCTGGCAGCGCATAAAGTCCCAAATGCGCAGAGTTCCATCGTCGCTACCGCTGACAAATTTGCTGTCCGTGGGACTAAAACTGCGGTTGGGGTTTTTGGAATGATTCGGAATCGGAGAGACACAGCGAGGTTAGAAAAATGGAAACGAAACACTAATAGAATATAGATGTGCGTGCGTGTGTGAGTGTATGAGTACGTTTGGAATAGAGAAGTGAAGTCTGCACTTGTAATCATGAGACTCGCAAAAAGTTGACTGCCGGCGCTCTCTTTGTCTCTCTCGCTCCCTCTCTCCTTGTCTCTGCCCCTCAGCAGCAGCGGCAGCAGCAGCAGGCGTTAAAGAAAACACTCGAACCCCCGAATTTGAATATAAACTTTTTGCTTTTAGCATTTTATTTTGTTGTTGTAGTTGTTGTTGGCCACGGCGCGAAAATAAAATTGTGCAAAATTGTGTTTGGTTTTTTTTTTAGTTAGTTTGCCTTTATTGTATTTTTGGTATGAATTTTGTTTTGCATATCTTGACACAATTTCAAAAATAATTTATTCGTATGAATTTAATTATTGACAGTCTTTTTAGTGTTAAGGCTAGAAATCACAGTGGTAAATACATTCTTAGAATGGTTTTATTGTTTTTTCTTTTTTTTTTTTAACTTAGTCTTGACTAGCGGAACTATACGGGAAAATACTGCGCGCACGCGACTATTCGCTAGCTAAACAGAGAATCGAGAGACCTGGCTTGTTGCACAAGTTACGGCTTTATTGAGTTATATATTGCAACAGCCCCCGAAAGGAAACACGAAACGAATCGCAACGAAACTAGCGGCTAACAAACTAACTGCAACTGAACACACGACCCAGGGCCCAGGTGACGATGGCGAGGAGGAGAGCATTGAGAGATTTGCATGATAAACTGCCACTGCGCAACTGTAAACGAGCTAATTTTGGGTGGTTCGGTGGTGGCCTCATGCTTGCGGCAACATCAGCTGCGAAATGGTAAATACAATTGACAATTACAATCATTAGGCAATACCTTATTCCCCTAATCGCCTCCTTGTGCGCCTGATACATCTTCACGTTATTCATGTTCGATTGCCAATACTTCACATAGCCGCCATGATCGCCTGTTACCATCCAGCTGTCATTATGCGACCACACCATCGTGCGCACCGCAATATCGTGTGCCTAGATTAGATATTTGTATCAATTCGTTCTTTGCTGATCTGGTAGACACTTACCTGCAGTATAGTCTCAAAGTTAAAGGTAAGGCCATTCCAAAGCGTAAACTCGCCGGAACTGGCGCCCGTTACCAAACGTCTGCCCTCTGGCGTCCAGGCAAGCGTAAAGATTGGACAACGCATTTTGTTTGTGGCCGTCTTGACAAAACGCGTCGTTATCGCATTTGCCGGATTGTCCAGAGAGCTGGAGGGTGGAAGCATCTGTGGCACATAAATGCTGTCCGGCTGCAGTGCCAATCGATCCCTATAGTCGCGCTGCCAGAGTCGAGCCTACGCAACGAGATTTAAACATTAATTCTGCACTAATTAAAATCATATAGGACACTCACCTCCAGCGCCTTGATAATGGACGCATTGTAGTCAACCGTTTTACGCATGACGCTCTTGCGCAGCCGCTTGCCATCAAAGTCGTCCTGGGACATACCAAAGGGACGTTGGAACCCACCAGGCATGAAGGGCTTAAAGTGATTATAGCCCTGCTTGCCGGCTCCATGGTGAGGGTGGTAGTGTCTGTAGTGCTGGCCGCCCATTGACGGCGGCGGCATCGATGTGAAATTCGTTGCCAGCGCCGATGGCGCCGTCAATAGCTGTGGCGGAGGCTGAGATAGGTCCATGGCTGTTACCGAGTTGAGCGCCGTATTTGCTATATTCTTGCTACTTCCTTTCTCCTTGCTTTTAAAGAAAATTTCTTAAGTACGGATATTGTATTAAATTAGCAGAACCAGTTCTTTAGTTCGATTTCGATTTTTGCAGACTGCTACGATTTGTGTTTTGCAATTGTGTTGAAAAGGAAAAACATTAAGCTCAGTAGAAACATTTGTTGCTGTATCCGATATTCAAACAGTGCAACAAACAATTAAATTCACATTAGCATGATTGCAACAATTCATATATTTGAACTAAATTGGAAAAAATTCACGCACACCCATATACACGCAGACGCATGTGAAACGTGTGTAGCTGATTTTCTTCTCTATTTTTGCTGGTGTTCTGAGCTTTTTAACTTACTTGTCGTTCTAGTGCTTAGTCATTTTGTCTACCAACAAATTTTCATAGTATTTAACAATTTAATCTCCTTTTATTGTAATTAAATTGGTCGCGTGGATTAGAGTTGTACTGATGCGTTCGGAATGAGTTCTGTCGAACGAGTCACTGAACTGAAAAAAATGAACTGATTCGATTGTTGTTCATTTAGTTCGTTTTATTTGTTCTTCGTTCGAAATTAACATTTTGCTTATCGAACAGCAAGCGCCTTTTTTTGCCGGGAATCTGAAATGCAAGTAACGAGTAAATCGTTCAACTTTGCAAATAAAATGTATCTTTCTTTTACAGAAAATGTATTATGAAATGGTAATAGCTCAATAACAAAAACGAGTTTATGGCTTGTAACAAACAAGAAATATGCGAAGAATTTCAATATAATCACTCAAATTGACTCCGTAATATTTAACAGTGTTATATTGATAACAGTGTCATTACATTGACGTAATAGAGAGAGAGAGACTGCTAACTTGTTCGCAGTAGTGGTCAGCGACGGCACTATTGAATTGGTTCACTATCGATATTGAAAAATCATTATCGATAAAATAACTACTTTTTGGGGTGTACAACTAGTGCATCTCTAAACCGGGCTTTGGGCTAACAACTTTTATATACACCTGCGCTTGCGTTTGTGGGCTCAGTAGGTTGTCGTTCGTTGTTGAGTTCATACTAGCATTGAGTTCATACCATATTATAATTGGCAGTTAAATTCAAATAGCTGTGTGGAGCGCTGTGTAAATTAAACATTTAATTAATTGTGTTTTGTTTTGATTTTTGACTATAAAAGTTCTTTGCCTTTTGAATGTCAACTAAATGAAAATAATTTATCTTCAACAGCTAAACAGCGTCTCGTTAACGTTCACGTAAACGAAACAACAAATTGCAGCTTGCGCTTAAATCAATATTGTTAAAACGGTTAACATGCAAACAGTTATTAAGTAAGTTGTTGTCATCTTTCCCACACAAATGGGTATTATATTTGAATTTTGTACTGCTGCATTTTCGTTATCTCTGTTTTAAGTCCATTTCACTTGCCTGCCCATTCCCACTCGATTGTACAATATTTGTAAGCGCGTCAAACAAAAAAGAAAGTTGCGCATGTTTATTAAAAACACGTTCCGGGTAGTTCGATTTGGGATTAAGAAAACTGGAAGCGGACCAGTTGACTTTTTCTACTCTATCTTGTTCATATTTCGGTTTTGCTTTGATCCAAACTCGCTTAATTCTTACCAAGTTCCTTTTCTTTTTTTTTTAAACTCATGTTTTGCCTTGCATTTTAAGTGTTTATTAACTAGATATATGCCGTTTAAGAAATCGAAACAAAAATAAAAAAGTTTTAAATTTTATCAGAAATTATAAAAAAAAGTTATATAATATTTTTCTTCAATTTATGCTTAGAAATCGATTTTACCTTACTTATTTTTGATTCCTGCTGATGGTCGTTTTCCACATTTAAGGTTTTCATTAGAAACTTGTTCCCTTACTTAACTGCTTATTTATAATATTATCATATTTTCCCAAACTGTTATCTTGCGCATGTTATGTGAAAATTATTGCCGTGTTGTCATGCCAAAAAAAATATATATATAATGATATACTTATTACATATATAGTATACTGTATTTATTTGCACAACTTATTTAATTACAATTAATATACATGTAAAAGACCTGCGATTATTTTCTATGATTCGTGCGATGTAAGCTCTCACATGCGCCGATTTTTTGTGTATATAGTATATAGTAAGTCCCGCTAATTGTTCAGATGCGTTTGCTTAGCTTTATGTTTTGCACATGTTTCTTTAGAAACAGCCAATATACGTGACTAAAAAGAGTCTCTTAGAAATGGCTTTCTTATTTCCTGTTAGAAATGTGTCTAAATTCGAGAATTTTTGTAGAAAAAAAAATGATGCTTGAGTTACGTTTTTTGTCGTGAATTTTAGTCAGACTTCGCTGGAATTATTTATTTCAATTGTCAATAGTGTAGAGTTTTTGATCTACCAACTTTTTAGCCGTCATTTAATGGAATCAAGATACTCTATCTTTTTTTTTTTGAGACAGTGGAGTTGCTCTTGAAAAATTCGTTTTAATTATTTAGCTAAAATGCAGTACATGCTTCATAAAATAAACCAGCTTTTTGCTTCGAAGACAATGCATTTTAAGTTGTGGAAGGCTCTCTTAAATAAATGTTTTCTCATATCAGCAAAATATTTGCCCAAGTCAGCCAAAAAATTTGCCGCAGCTTTTTGTTGTTCTGTGGGCCATCTGCATAATGTTTAAACTACATTTATTGCTTTTGTTTTAAGCTTGAAAATATTTCGGACTGGCTGGCAAACTAATGTACAAACACACACTCATCTCAAAAACCAAATAAACGGCTCACAAAAAAAGTCTTTGTCCGATAAATATAAAACGAACAAATTCACACCTATGCCAGGTTTTTAGATAAAACTGCCTTACCGGTTATACAGCTTTTGACCAATTCTTAAAACTCGGAGTGTTTATTTGATTTCTTTGAGCGGTATTTAGGCCAGCCAAATCAACGCGAAATCAGCCAAGAACTAAAGTTGTTCAAGTCTTGGGCCAACGCAGTTCTTTATTTATTGGTGTATGTGTATATGCACATATAGTGTTGTGTGTGCTTTGTTTTTGACTGTTGTTGTTGCAGTTGCTTATTTGCTCAAATTGCATAATTAAATGCACGCAGACCTTAACGTGGTCAAAAGCAGCGACTTCAGCAGCGACTGCAACTGCAACTGCAACTCCAATTATGGTCAGTCATTTGGCCATGCGGCTGCGTTTCTTTTGTACAGCTATTTCAGCTGAAGGTGAGGCTTGCGGTTTTAAATCTGCCACGCCCTCAAGACCTACATGCCCACCTAAAGGGGGGGCACCGCATCGGCATAATGTGTTGCAACCTCAACAAACTATACCCCAAACCCTTTTAGCCATAATTGAACACCGCACATCAGGTGAATAGTGAATAGTGTGTAGGCTGTTGGGGCTGGAGAGTGGGGGGTGGGGCTGCTGAGCTTATCAGCTAAACAATCTCGAACGCACTGTTTATATAGATGTGCGGCAAATTAATTAACCCCCACATTTCAGTGCTCACTTTCACACAGATGCTCTAATTGCCGCTGCCATAAAACGGCCACTAAATGTAAACAAATGTCCACCGACTTTATAAAAATAATATTTCGCTATGTCCGTCGTTTTTCCAGTCGGTCGATGTCCGAGGTTAACGTATTGCCTTGACCCGCAAATATTTGTAAACCTTCGATTTGTTGCGAGAAGGGAGATCGGTATGCCTAAATTATGCACACAATAATAAAAAGATTATGGGAGATTCCCTTTGTTGAAGAATGGAAATAACTTTCAATTTTTTATTGTTGGAGGAAAATCGGGAATTAGAAAAACAGTTTCCTCAATTTTGGACACAAAACCCACTGAGAGATATACATATATGCTAATTCCTTTGCGACTGCCTCCAAATCTAAAAATATGGAAATATGGAGTATAGTTTTTGGCAGCTGTTTTATTAGGGATCTCAGTTCCATCGAAGTGTTGTCCTGTGCATACATTCTCCTGAACAAATTACCAACACAATTGAGAATTTCTCCTGGAAGACATTTACATAGGGCTTAAGATATTTGACATTATATCTCAATGAGTTCGACGTTCATTGAGAACGCGGCCTGAAAAACTCCTGTCGCTAGTCACAGGACTGTCGATGGACTGGGTTTGGTAGACCAGATATTATTATTTTACTGTGGCCTGAACCTAGAAATCGTTGGATTCTTGTTGGTGGGGATTGCACAAAACGCGCACCAAATAGAAATTTAGAAGATCGGATCTTTTGAAATTGTACTTGATCTTGTACTTGACTCTTATATCTGAGCTTAGACTGAGTCCACTGCCTAATCATTGAAGGGTTTCATTTGGATAATCCCTATACGGTTTAATTCCTAGAAAATAACTTTAATTTGTGGTAAATTTCCACCAAAATTAAACAATTAGAAATTATCGAGATAACAACTTCTTTTTGTTACCCAATTAAGTAAATTCTGTTTGTTTTGGCGAATTCATGAAATTCTTCGGTGCGTTTCTTCAGCCGCATCGCGCTTCCTTATGGCCAACGTAAATCTTTGAAAAGCAGGCCAAAAGAAATGCCAAATGCCCTGCCCCAATCTTGATGCGTAATTGCAGTAAATTTTGGAGCGTGTAGCGCACGTAATAGGCCCGGTCTTTGACTTCTTGGCGTAAACGCCTTTATTACTCACCCCACCTCACATAATGAACAATCCGAGTGTAATGCGGGCCATTTGTCAAGCCAGGTGATTGATGTTGTCAAAGCCCGGCTCCAGATCGGGTTGCACTGGCTCTCTCGCTCGAATGAAATTACGTGTACTTGTTTGTTTCGCACATAATTGCGGTGATTTGATGGGGCCAAAGAGGATTTGTGTGGGATTACTGGAACCGGGAAGACGCAGCACTTCGTACGTGCCCCCAGCACTTTAATTTCGGGCACGCGTCGAGTTAACTGAGAATTATCTCAAATATATAATATAAAAGAAGGCTTCTGTGATTCAACTTTAATGTGATTTAACCAAACATCTGGTCGAATTTCTTTGAACCAAGCCGCAAATTCACCATAGAACTCGGTTGGGATGTAAAGCCTAAATAAATAAAATAGGAATACTCACTCCACTAGAGGAAACCCTCTAAAAAGTATCTATAGAAAATAATTATTCTTAATAGGCACGCATTCCTCTTGATCTTCCATTTTTCTAATGCATAATATCTATGCAGGTTATTCTCATTGTTTTCCACATTTTTCCACAGTAACACTCTCAAGTTTCAAGTTCCAGCTGATATTGGTTATAAAACATTTTAAATACAATTGTACAATGATTTTGAGGTCAGTATTTAATTTAAGGTGGAAATTTCGCTGGCCTTTTGTTGTAGCCACTAAATGCCGAATGCATATTTAATGATTCGCCTTGCCATTGCGCTTGTTTATGCGGCTCCGTCGTATAATTGGCAATACGCTTGCCTAAAGAGCGGGCACCCGCCCAAAAATAACAAAAATAATAAAATAAATAACAAATATTTCCATTTCGTTTAGCA